CTTTGCTTTTACACAGGTCTCACAGAAGGCTATAGCTTCAGAATTGTCAATAGTAACTCCTTCGGTTAGGCCTGAATCTATGAGATGGTTCAGTAATTTGTGGGCTACATGACCCATGTATTGGTGTAGATCATTTATGGTTATTGTGGTTGCAAGGTATGCTCCCCTTTTGTGGTTTTTGCTAATGCCTCCACCTATATGGACAGTGTATCCTGCCTTGTCCATGTGACTAGCAGATATTAGCGTTGAAGCCATTGTAGGACAGTGTAGTGTGTCTTTTAGTATGACACAAGAGCACTTGTCCCCATTTGGTAGATTGACAGTGACACCACCCTTGCCTTGGGTGTACATAATATCACTGTTCGCTGCATTTATGGGTATAGGATTGATTGGAGTGTATAGTTGTAATCTTTGATAATCTGGGCAGAAGTGGTCTGTTGCATCACAATCAATAATGACTTCATTTGCGCTATTGTGAGCTTCAGCTTTGTTTGCTGAAGCTGTAGCATATGGAAAGTGAGAGTGATCAGCTTGTAAATAAATATAGAATGGGAATCTAGCAACTGCCGTGCCTGGTTGCTTACTGCTTTAGGGCCAATTCCCACCTCGTGTAGTATCAAATCCTTTGGGGCTGGCTGCAGTTGTGCAGAGCATCAAGCTCACTTTTTAAGCATTCAACCACCACAGTTGTTCAATCTTCCATCTATGTAAGTCCATCAGATACTTCTGTTCAACCATACTAAAGTAACCAGTAGGATCATTAATTCTACCACTGGGCTCATGATCAAGGCTTAGGCTTGCCGACACCAGGAAAAACCCTTTCGCTATATAGTGCTATATAGCCACCACCTATATATATAAATGCATTCATAGAAAGTATAGTACTATCAGTGCAAGCATAGCTCTTATAGCTCTTATAGCACAGTAGTAGGCAAAAATTTAACCAAGGGGAGAAGTGTCTATAATTCCCTCAAACTCTGGATTAATCTAATAAACTTGTTCAATAATAGAAAGAGGCCAAAAGTGTTTGGAGTTAAGTATATTATTATAGGCAAGGTACTATAAGTGCTTTTATAGCCTATAGCAGCCTATATAGCTCCTATAGCTGCAAAGGTCATAGTTATAATATAGTTCAAGGTGCTTGAAAGGGCTAATAAATCATACAGTATTAATCAATTATGTAGTCTGTAGTAGTGAAATAGTAGTTTGTATCTTTGATATATATATAAAAAGGAACAATGATTTATCCAAATATAAGTGGTGACAATGAGTAAAAAAATAACTAAGTCCATGAAAGGTCAATATATAACACCTGTATGATACATTTTATAAGCTCTCATGGTGTAGTGGATAAATGTGATGTGTGGCTATAGGTTGCTTAGTCACCTAAAAGCTGACTAGCAGATTGAGAGTTTAAATACTGTCTGTGTTAATGTTTTTTTATCAGCCACACAACAATTTCCAACATGAGCTATATGAGGCTCTATAGATGGCAGAGGTTCTATAATAGGTTTGACTATTATAACAGCTTTATGAGTACTTATAGTGCTATAGAGCTCTATATAGCTACCCCCATTTATCCTAATGGACTTTACCATTGATCTGTTTTGCCAAGAGGCTCGTCAATTGTTTCCCACCATAGAGTGACCCAAACTTGCATACCCATGATTTTGAGGATGTGCTAGATGCTAAGTTGATATGAGGGAACTATGTTGACCGTTAAATGGTGCGGAGGAGGGAGCACAAGTATATCAGCATTTTATCACTCTAATGACATTTTTTTTCAATCTCTAAATATGTTTGAACTTAAGACCATTGACTTTAACCCTAAGCTCTAAGCTAAGTCCAGGCACAATGCCTGACTTCTAATTGCTGTTGTTCCAACAGAAAAGAGATGGCCTCTGGTAAAAATGAGATTCGGCATCAACTGGGGCCTATGTAGATGTGGTGAGGGGCTCCAGCTCAAAGAATTCACAAAAGTGGTTGCATTGATGTTCTGACATGAATAATGCATGAGTCAAAAGGAGGTTTCCATCAGAAAATATTTGGCCAGTGTCTCTGCATGCATATTAGCCAGCAACAACAGAATGGTACAGTAGTGAAACATACAGAGAAGTGATTATTTGAGGGTCTGTAAGGAGTATCCGACCACCTATAATAGATACATTCAATTAGTTACAGTGAATATATTGTCGAGTTTAAAGCTTACCTTGAAAATCCACAATGAAAGCCATTTTATGTGTCTTATAATATTGAATATGCTGCGAAACTTTCCATCCTCTAACTCCTCAATAAATTCTTCAATCATGTATGTGTCATGGTTATTATTCTCTATAATAGTGAGTGCCAACTTGACAAAGTGCATTTGTGGGATGGCAAATGGTGGATTAGCATGTGACTCTAATCCTTCTGCAATGAAGTTATGTACAATGTGCATAAATGCTTCTGCCCAACGGAGACAGTTGATCTCGGCACTGAGTCTTGAAACTTGTGTACCATTTTCATATGGAATATGGGAAGAAGTTGACTTGCATTGGTACCAGCACTGCTTGATACAAGCCTGAGATGACATGCCAAAAATTAGAATGTTGGTATGACCAGATAGTGCTTGTTTGAATCCTCCATAGACAGCATGCGAATTAGGGTTGAAAATAAGGCTAAGGTGGATAGGTGGATTACTATCAACTATAGCATTGAATGAGGAAGGCCAGGAATCTAATCCACAGAAGTCTGTTAGAGAGACAATATAGACAAAGCATGCAAGAAACACAGCATTTATTGCCAGTAGCCTATATTAGCCATTAGTCTGTAGAATTAATGTTACACTTAAATATTGACTTAACTCCATGCTTTGAGGGACATCTTTGTACCTGCAGTGCACACCGCACATCATCAGCATTTGGTGATATTGTGGCTTGAGCTGTTCATGCTTGTTTTTTATGGGGACTTGGAGTCATTGGAGCTATTAGTGAAGTCCTATTAGATGACTTTGCAGAACCTAGGAGCTCATATGGCAACAAAAGCTACCAGGGTTTGTTGAGCATTTGGGTTTGGTTATGGCCATGAATTGAGACTAAGTTACAAAACCACTTAAGGCCGTGATACTCCTAAAATGGAAATACCCATTTGATCATCCATGGAGAACAACAAGATAAAACAGCAATATATGTTTGAGCAACTCCTTCTGCTTGCCCCACTACTTTTTGAGTCACAATGCCAATTTGATGAGCTAAATTCCCTTATAGCCCAAGCAACTAGTGCTGTTGCCCTCACCTTGATCAGTAATTCACTCAAAAAAACAGCACTTTCAACGCTCTAGTGACACTATATCCAAGAAAGTTCCTTCTTGTCTCAATTTTGTGATCTATTTATTCAAGTCATTGTAGATATTCCTAGGAGATGTTATACACATTCCCGGCTCCTCCACTATACACTATATTTTTTCAACTACTACTAGATACAGACTCTACTCCACCTGAGATTTACAACAATCCAAAGTTGTATCCATACTTTGCTGATGCTTTAGGTGCCATTGGCGGCACCCACATCAATAGTGCCTCGTCAAGCGCTGAAAGGCATCTATCCTGCAATTGCAAAGGTGGTTTATCGCAAAACTGCCTTGCACGTTGCTCATTTGACCTGTTGTTCTTCTACATCCTGACGGGCTGAGAAGGTTCAACTGCAGATGCAGCAGTATTTGATGATGCTAGGAGGCATAACTTTTGGATCCCCAAAAGCAAGTACTACCTTGCTAATGCAGGATTTGGCATCTGCAGCCAATTGCTTATTCCTTACCAAAAGGAACACTACCACCTTGCTGAATGGGGCTATGCTGCAGTCAGGTAAATCTGTAGTGTCATTTTTCATTTACATCTGGCTAACTTGTGTGCAGACCTAAGAACACACGGGAGCTGTTTAATTTGCATCATGTGCAGGCACACAATTGTGTGGAACATATCTTTGGTGTCCTGAAGAGAAGGTTCCAAATACTCACCTGCCCCCCAGACTTTTCTATGGACATCCAGTCACGAATTCCAGCAGCACTTGCAATGCTCCACAACTTCATTTGCATTCACAATCCAGATGAAATCAATGACTTACTCCCACCCAAAAATGGCAAGGAGAAAGAGTAGCATGTTTCATTATTGACTGGCGCTGTTGAACAAAGCTAAGAGGGTGGAAGTGAGATGTGGCAGGATTATCATTGTGAATTGTTGGCTAGAGGTATTGTAGCAAACTCAAACTAAAAGTAGCCCATGCACTTGAAAGTTTGATTAATGAAGAATAAACTTTCTTCCATAACATTGACAACGCTAAGGAGACAAGATAGCTAATAGCAATATAGGAAAAAAATATTCAGTGCTATCATACAACAGACATCCAGCAATGAAAGATGGCAACACTACAACCCAAGCTGCTTGTAAACCCAGGCCTTGTAAACACCTTCCTTTGCATCCGCAACCCTCAAATAATATTTGGCCCAGCGTGCATTTTCCTTGAAGAGGTCAATAATCACCACCATTTGCTTATCCTCAAGATAAGTTTTGAGTGCCAGGCAGTGGTTGATGGTGTTATCTACCATCTGCTGCATCTCTGCATTATGAGGTGCCCTTCTCTCATTATTTTTCAAGTTGATATACATTTGGGAAGTTGTGGCAGATAAAGCGGGTGCTTGGGATGCACCCATGATTTCTTGGACAGTGTAGAAATGCACTCTGAAATTGTGTGTTCTTCTGGTCATTGTCCAGTAAGCAAGTGTTCATGGGGGATAAGGTGTTATTTACAAGGCTGTAGGCCTCATGTTGGGTAGGACGCGTATGTGAACAAAAAGAGCTGGCATTAGGGGAGGGGGTTTTCTTTGATGGAGGGGTCTCAATAGAACCCATGTTAGAGGAAGGTTGTTTGCTTGAAGATTGCATAGACATGCTAATAGGAGGTAGTGTGGGGGCCATAGTACAATCACTAGTGTCATAGCTGGAAGTCCCAAACCATGGAATGGATTACCCAATACCAGATATTGGTATTTCCTGCCTATCCCAATCAAGATCCATTGGCTCATCATCAATATCTTTGTTATCAGGTGTGTCATCTTCCTCAAAATCATTGTCATCCAATATACTATTGTCTACTCTACCAGTGGGGTCTCTAGCAGTGGCTTGTGTGGCGTAAAATACATGGGTGCCCTTTGGAACTTGAGCAGGACAGATAGTGTCCATCATTGCATAGTGAGGCAATCCTTGAGTTTTGAGATCAATAATATTGGTACTTGGGGAAAGCCTTCACAACGGTGAAAAAATTAGCGGTTCAAAAATGTAATAAATGACTTACTGCAATGAAGGTATCAATCACAGCACTATTTGCAGCAGCATAGTCAAGCCCATGCTCCAATAAAAATACAAAATCAGACTGGTTATACAGCTGTTGAACACCTTTGAGGTCAGTTTTTAGCTGGAGGAAAACAGCTAAGACATCAGTTGATCTGGATATTAGTATTACTTACATCTTTCCACTTGGCCTTGCATGCCTTTGGTATCTTGACAGCCCCAACAGTCCAACATTGAGCAACTGCCACTGCAGTGCCAGTCCAGATAGCAGGCTTGAATGTGAAGTTATCTTTAGCCTCCAATTCATGCTCTATAATAAAACTAATGAGAGTTTCTATATCTTTTGTTGTCCATTTCCATTGGTTGACTTTGGTATTCTGGATGGCTGTGTCAGCCTGGAGTGTAATAGCAGTAGCAGATTTCTTGGCCATATCCTCACAACTCCTGAGGTTGTACTTGCATGGTTTCTTTCTGGACCTGGAAAAAAGACATCAGGACATAGTCATAGGGTTAAAACTGGTGCAAAAGCTAGAGAAATTGATAAAGATCAGTGATATTCTTGTCGCATCTCTATCCTATCCCCTCGCACACTGATGTGGCTGAAAATAGTAAGTCCCATCACATCACCATCACAAATTTGGCATTCTAGCATGAGTCAAAAATCAAAATTACAAGCAAAGCTTGTTCATCCTAGCTAGCTTTTGTTGCCGTATGGTCTCTAGATAACACAAGGACATTATAGTACCAGTGTTGGTTTCCAACAGTAGCCACAGCAGTGTGAGAAAGTGAAGTTTGAATAAAATGGAAAGTGCTGCATAGCATAGTGTGTGAAAACTACAAAAAAAAAGTTCAAGTGGAGAATGAAATTTGAAGGTCCAAAAATTGTGTATTGTAACACCCAGTCTTTATCCCTTAAGCGCACATTGTCTGTATTCAGTAAAATATCCTTTATCCACTTATGGAAAAGGGGATGCAGATGAGGAAGCAGATTTGCTTAAGATCTTGAACACCAATATGCACAGGAATGTTACTGATTGACTTGGAGATGTTCTAAAATATTGGTTAAAGTAGGTAGTGCCACCAGTTGTAACAGAGCTACGCACAGACACAACAGATGGGTTTCTGTTACCGGGCTTAAGCCACATCATTGTCACTCTTGAGAATATAAGCTCAGTATTGCTAGTGGCAAAAGCTTGCCTTGCAAAAAACTCTCACATCTCATTATACATTTTGTGAGCTTCCTGATATCCAGGACATAGCAACCCATTTGTAAACTTTGGGATACTAGTAGCTGTGGCAAGTTGGCCTGGTGCAAGAGTCTTGGGCCACCTGTTGGTACTTTGTTCCAAGCTAGCCATGGTTTATAGTTTACAGCATTTGCACTACCTGCTTTCACTGGTGATGGTGGCATTTGCAGACTTGCGCTTGATTTTCCCTGGTCATGCCCTATATACACTAGGTGTGATTGACCTGTAGCAACATGTTGGCAAGGTTAATAACTATAAATACACTAACTCACCTTGCCATTGAGCAGCAGCAACTTGCTGTCAGACATTTGCCACTACAATACAGTCAGTTACTAGGATAGCAAGGACTGACAGTAATACCTTCAGTTGTGCAAATAGTTGTAGGTAGCTGACAAGACACAGATTTGCAGATTTGGTATTCTCAGCAGAAGCTGCAGAGTGACTTTCCTGGCCTGTCCTGCCTGCAGTCATGCATGTATAAAAAGCTCTGTTCCTTTTAGAAAGGTAACATAACATTTATCACAGACAATGTCTGTTGCATTATCTGTGGTAAAGTCAGCAACCTCTTGGACATCCATGTTGGCTCTCAATTGTAGGCTCCCTTATGTATGCCATGCTCGGAACCCACCCAGACATTGCCTACGTTGTTGGAATACTAAGCAGGCATAGCTCAGCTCCAAGGAGCCATCACTGGGAAGCTGCAAAATGTGTCCTCCGATATCTGAAAGCAACCAGGGACATGGAACTACGATATGATGGCACAGATGTCTCCATGGACATGGATTTCTATGGATATTCAGATGCAGATTGGTCTGGAGACCCAGACACATCTCGATCAACATCAGGGTTTGTCTTTATCACCATCCAAGGAGCAATCTCCTGGACAAGCAAAAGACAAAGCATGGTCGCTTTATCCTCCACAGAGTCAGAGTACATTGGATTGAGCAATGCTGGACAACACCTTGCATGGCTTTGGACATTTTTTGAAGAAATTGGACATGCTCAAAATGGACCTACAACATTGCACTGTGACAATCAAGCAACTATCATTCGTACACGAGATCCACAGTTCCGTGCTCGCACAAAACACATTCAACGGAAATATCATTTTATCCGAGATGACTTAGTATCAAAGGGAGAGGCAGTAATCAGATACGTTCCTACAGGAGATATGGTTGCCGACATTCTCACTAAACCCCTCACTCACAAAAAACACTGGAAATTCTCTAAAGCTATGGGACTACGGTTGCACTTGAGTGGGAGTGACAAAACCGGATAAACCCAGTCTCTGCCGAAGCAGCCATTGTTCTCCATGGAGCATAGCCACCACTCCATGGAGTAACCATTGTTCTCCTAGGAGTCATTATACTGTAGCAAGTAGCACCTCTGACTATAAGTAGTAGGGGGTTTAGTATAGGAATACCTCAGTCATTTCTATAGCCTCTCGGGCAGCGGCTGAGGTATGTTACATTACATTTATTAGAGATCACCTTAAACTAACATCTATTGTAGTTTCACTTAGGTAAATAATAAGTTGTTTCTATAGCCTCTCGGGCAGCGGCTGAGTTTCACTTAGTTTTATTATGGTGGACTTGGTGGGCTATAACATAGCTAACATAGACTACCATATCTTAGTACAATGCTAGATCTGACCAAGTAGTGCATATTTACAAAATGACATAGCTCCTCATACTTTACCAGAGCTAATAATCATGAAAGATGTGCTAGATTTTTGTGAACTTAATGACCATTGTATTATGGTAACTCAGAATGATACTCAATGTAGACATGTCAGTTTTGATAACACAAAATAAGAACATATATAGCTTTGTTGTACCTTCATCAATTTTCTGATGTTAGTGGTGTAACTCTACAATATTCCGGAACGTACCGGTGTTGTGAATGACAAAAATTTCGCTTTTCCTCCGCCGGGTCAAATGATAACGCCACGGCAGGAACCGAAGCGGAGTCACAACGTAATCAGTTCATCAGATCGATAAAAAAATTTCGGTGCGAGGTAGTATAATTATCGCCAAACATCTCCAATCTCCCTTTCTTCCTTACCACCACATCCGTCCCTCTGCTTTCCAGTAAGTGGTTTACCGTGTTCTTATATTCTAAGACTGATCATAATTGATCATCTAATGTATTCTTTTCGACACAAATTGGTCATTGTAGCTGACTTACATCTTCTGACTTTGCTCGCCAAATGGGAAAGGAAAAAACTCACGTTAACGTTGTTGGTTTGTTGATTTATGTCTTCATTTGTGTCTTAATCTAATGGGTTGTCATCTCACCTGTCGCAGTGATCGGACACGTTGATTCAGGGAAATCGACGACGACTGGACACTTGATCTACAAGTGCGGTGGAATTGACAAGCGCACTATCGAGAAGTTCGAAAAAGAAGCGGCTGAACTCGGCAAGGGTTCTTTTAAATATGGTGGGCATCATCGATCTATCGATAATGGGATCTTTTTTACTGAATGCATCATGTAGCGTGGGTATTAGACAAGCTAAAGGCTGAACGTGAGCGGGGTATCACGATTGATATCGCATTGTGGAAGTTCGAAACGCCCAAGTTCATGGTTACAGTAAGTAGTTGTTTAACATTGATTGATGTAATCCCATCGACATATTTTTCCTTCTTCATTAATTTTAGGTAATCGATGCTCCAGGCCATCGCGATTTCATCAAGAACATGATTACTGGCACCTCCCAGGCTGACTGTGCCATCCTTATCATTGCCGGCGGTACTGGTGAATTTGAAGCTGGAATCTCGAAGGATGGGCAGACTCGTGAACACGCCCTTTTGGCGTTTACCTTGGGTGTTAGGCAACTCATTGTTGCTGTCAATAAAATGGATACTACGAAGGTCAGTCATTCTTATTTGTATGGTCTCGCATCAATTACAACGTATGACCCAGTGGAGCGAGGATCGTTTCAATGAAATTATCAAGGAAACCTCTACTTTTATCAAGAAAGTTGGTTACAACCCGAAAGCTGTCGCCTTTGTCCCCATATCTGGGTGGCATGGTGACAACATGTTGGAAGAGTCTCCCAAGTATTCACGTCAATAATTTTTTTATATCATCATTTACTAATGATTATGCTGTAGTATGCCGTGGTACAAAGGTTGGACCAAGGAGACTAAGGGCGGCGTTGTGAAAGGCAAAACTCTTTTGGATGCTATTGACGCCATTGAGCCACCCGTCCGTCCTTCAGACAAGCCCCTTCGCCTTCCCCTTCAGGACGTATACAAGATTGGCGGCATTGGAACCGTCCCAGTTGGTCGCGTTGAAACTGGTGTCATAAAGGCTGGCATGGTTGTTACCTTCGCTCCTTCTAACGTGACTACGGAAGTCAAGTCTGTTGAGATGCATCACGAGCAGCTTGTTGAAGGTGTCCCTGGAGACAACGTAGGGTTCAACGTAAAGTATGTGTTTTTATCCATGACTAGTTCACAGCAGAGCTGACAACAGTGTCAAGAAATGTGTCTGTGAAGGATATTCGCCGTGGTAATGTCGCTTCTGACTCCAAGAACGACCCAGCCAAGGAAGCAGCATCATTCAATGCTCAGGTTATCGTTTTGAATCACCCAGGCCAGATTGGTGCTGGATACGCGCCAGTTTTAGATTGCCACACAGCGCACATAGCGTGCAAATTCGCCGAATTGATTGAAAAGATTGATCGTCGAAGTGGTAAATCTTTGGAGCAGGCTCCGAAATTCGTGAAGTCTGGCGATGCCTGCATCGTAAAGCTTATCCCCTCTAAACCTATGTGTGTGGAGTCGTACAATGAATACCCTCCTCTTGGTCGCTTTGCCGTTCGTGATATGAGGCAGACTGTCGCAGTCGGTGTTATTAAGTCTGTTGATAAAGCCGACAAATCTTCTGGCAAAGGTGCGTAGTTGATGTTCCCATTGGCCGTGTTCACCGGTTTAACCATGCTATTCCAGTGACAAAATCGGCGGAAAAGGCCGCAAAGAAGAAGTAAAAGCTTGGGCGAGATGGTCTGCCGTTTTCATACATGTAATCATTGTCACAGTAACTGTATGATCAGAGTGAATTTGCAACATGTGCACCGTTTTGACTTGATTTCGGTAGAAAAATGAGACTTCTGTAGAATAAATCTTGGCCTCGTAACTAACCAGTCCTGACACAAAAGTGAGCTGAGAAACGATCGACATCGTGTATGTTTGAGAAGCAGCTAGCACAATACTCACTACCAACCACACACATGGTAGCCGTATCGCTTTGGATTTTGAACGGCCAATCGCCAGCCTGTGCCAGTAGCAGCTAATATGAGGCAAAAAGACGTCGACCGTATCGTCATATCAGCAAAGAAGAGCGAAATGGGCAATCGAGTAAGTGCAGGTTCGCTGTGTTCAAAAATAGCCTAGAAGATCTCATGAGTGCACGTGTAAGCGGAGAAGCGAATAAGATACCAAGCCCAGGCTGTTATTAGATTGAAGCGATATGTCAAAAATAGGCTAACTTTGAATTCATCAAAGTCTTCGAGCAACCACCCTAAAGGCGTTGCAACGCATGCTCGTGTCATTGCAGTATGTTCTCTGGACAAGCAGCACACAACGGTTGCCTTTAGAAGTGATGCAGTCTGTTTAGAACCAGCTGGTACACGCAGACCTCCCTTTGACAGGACGCGTGACATCCCACCAAATGTGAGTCGGGACTTAGCAAAATTTTAGTGAAGTTGGTTAGTCAGCAATAAATTATGAGGTGTGATCATCTGGCAGAACAGAGGGGAAGAATTACACCTATGTTGTAGGACATGCTGATAGTGAAGGGATGTGCAAACAGGTTGCTGGAGGGAGCGAAGATGAGAATGAACTTGTGGTTGAAGATGATGAAGGTGATTTTGAATGTTTGGTACAAGATGGAGGCTTTGAGCCAACATTAAGCATTGAGAGGGCGGAAGATATATCATTTGATATGAATGCTGAAGATGAGGGTGGTTGTCATATCAGAACAGTACTCCGGCATCTCTGAAGGAGATATTTCCTCAAGTCCGAACCTCCTGATTCTTCGGTATTCTCGGGATTACGCCCCTCATGACCTGCCAGTCGGCTTAGCCCCACCCCCACCCCCACATGGTACTCCAGACTCTCGTTCTGATACTCCTGCACCGGACTTCTAGTCTGTGATATGCTCCTATGCACATTCCCGTACTCCTCATGCACTCTGTAGTTTAGACCTTATGATACGCTCCTTGCACATATGTTTCTCTCTCGCTAGATAATTGTCCGCAATGGAACTCCGTACCTACATTACTCCTTACAAGCACCTACTCCTCCGACAGTATATAAGTTGTAGCTCCTGTACTTCGTTCCTGCAGTTCAAATATCAACTAGATTCCCTCACCTTTTTACAAGTCTCTTTCTAAGTCTTTCCAATCCTTCTCCAAAGGATCTTGACTCTGCTCCCTTGTCATCCTCTACTCTCCTCCGTCCATGTCTGTCGAGTTAGGGACCAAGGTCTGCAGAAGGGCCTAGTGCACGAGCTAAGCCAATTCCCCACCTTGTACTTTGTTACGCCCCTACTCCATCTCTGTACTCCGTAACTCCAAACACTCCGTAAGGTCACGGTTCTGACAGTGGTGGGGTGTTTCATGACAGTGCTGAGGGCTCCAATAATGTAACCAGATGATTTTATCACTCCAAAATTGTCTAGTTCTACTGAGTGACCACGACCTACAAGCTAACAACATTGAAATTTGGCTAAGTCCTGTGTCACAAATGTGTGACCTGCCATGTTATGGTCCACATTTACCAGTCCGTTCACAAGCTCACAATTTTTCTAATTTATTGATTATTGAGTCCGAGCTTGTCTTTGGTACTGGTCACGAGTCTAAATAAATCTCAGCAAATTGAGTGAAATAGAAAATATTGATTAGTTTCCAGGCCACATCCTACTACACTTCCCTCCCCTTTTCCAAGTTTGAGGCCACTGCTGATTCTGGCTCTGAGGGCTGGTTTCATCTTTCAGAAGCAGTGACTACAGATGCTGCCTCTATTACTGCTGAGGGTATGGTATGGGGGGTACTTTGGATGGCATCTGCCACAGCCAGTGTTATTGTGGTGTTGCCAGAGTGCGCACTGGCAGGTGGACTTGCATCAGTAAGCGGTTGGAGTAGGTCATCAGAGGCTCCACAAGACACCAGTTTGGGGGAGGCTGATAAGAGGGACATTAGTTTCTGGAAGTAGTGAGTCCACTATGTTATAAATATGATCTGGTCTGCTGGGCACAATTTCAAGCCTGGACAGTGTGGTAATTAGCATATTCCTGATGGAGAGCACAGAAGCACTTACAATGGATCATTTGGTGGGTTATTAGCCATGTTCTGGATTGAGCTGATAGGTTCTACCCTGGTGGTGCCAGACTCAATGGCCATTTCATTTGGGGAAGTTAAAGTGCTGGCTTGAGCGTCACTTGATGTTGTCACTTTGCTTGCTAAAGGACTGTTTTTTTGCTTGGCAGGGCATATTGGGGGATTATCTTGATGGGACTGCTTGTAGTTGTCCTTATGGACAGCCACATATTCACACGTATCTGCTTGGACAGCCTCTTTTTTGACAGCCATCTTCTTGGAATTTATTGGCACAACATGGTTGGCATACCAGTCTAGCTTGCAATAGCATAGCTGTGGTACCTTCTGGTACATTTTGGACCTGTATGAATCAAGTACTTCCCAACAAGCAGCTGCTTTTGGTAGCAGGAACAGAAACATCTCCAACCGCAGACACAACAAACACAGCGAGAGACAAACATACCCCAGTGGGAACAGAAACACTGAGGTTTTAACTATGAAGGAGACCACATTATATACAGACTAGAATACTAATAGAGAATGCCAACAAGCGGAGTGTGAATGAAAGATATGCTGGTGTTGAGTTGGAACTCAACACACTCCCTCAACAAGATAACAGAGAAAGTCCAGACAAATGATGGAAGAAGGATCACCGAAGCAAGGCTTTGTTGGCAACATTGAATTGTGTAGAAATCCATAAGGGTAGGAAAAGGCCGGAATTGATATGTTTGTGAATGAGATGGTATCTGACGTCTATGTGCTTGGAACAAGAGTGATTAGAGGCTTCCTTTGAAAGAAAAATGGCCCCAGTATTACCTATGGATAAGGCAGCATAGTAGCATGGTTTGGGGTTAGATGGTGAACAGTGAATGCGATATTGGGACAGGTGTATATAACGAGGTACAAGAGTTTGCCCACAAGTTTGCTATAGGTGTTACAACAGCATTTTTGTCATCTATTTTCTCAGCTAGCACATTATCTGCCATTGCTGTAAACTCAGCATCAACAAACAGAATGCTTCTTCTCAGTAATCCTGACCACCAAGGTTTTCTTGTAGTTGTTTTACCAGGTCTAGATTGACAGTGACTGAGCAATCCTTTGCAGTGACTTGAACAAAGTCCGGTGTAAGCCACATGTGTTGTGGTGATGTTCCACTTGGCAGGACCATTTTTTCCTCTGAAGAAAGATGGTGATTACTCTGATATTTCTGAAAGTCATCCAGCTTTTCTTGAACCAAAGGCAGCCACAACCAATTAAAAGCTCAGCTAGAAAATGATGATTTTACTCTAAGGGTTAATGGATTATAAATATACACATGTAGCTCATTGTTTGGATTAAAAACTCCTTCACTTTGGCCTATTAGTATAACGTGCCGGATACTATGCCCCTCACCTGCCCATTTCCAGTGCCAAAAACCCTCAATAGGTGTGTTATGTTTGCTCTGAACTTGTACCGCTGTAGGCCAGAATCAAGTGCAAATTCAGGAGCGGCATTGAGCCTGTACAGCAATATCAACATTAGCTATATACAAGGGGCTACAATCTCACCAAAGAGTCTCTTGAGATCTAATCATTTCACCAACCTCTGAGCCTTTGTCAGCTGTTAACTGGAGGGGAATGCCTGCATATAAGTATTAGCTGATGTTTCTGTAACACCCAGTATATCCACATCCATACATCTCTACCATGTCTAGAAATACATGTGCAATGGTTTTTGCACAGTAAACATTAGGTAAGACGCACATATAAGGAACAAATGACACAAATTGATCTTTTGATGAATATATGGGGAGAGATACTTTACCACCCATCCTCAATGTCTGTTCCACTAGTTTATCATGTCCATCCATGTGTTGATGATGCCATGGCCCAAGACAATTGAGTGGAATGTGGCCAATAGCATTTTTTGATCCCACTAACCGCTTGTCAAACTCTTCATCAAAGTGGTCATGAAGTACTTGTCGAACATCTTTCCTGGGAATCAATAGACATAGTAAATTTAAAATAATATAGTATAAAACTCACTATTTTGTTATTATTCCTTGATTTGCAAGCTGTTGACAAATCTGGTTTACTCCCCATTTCCCGGCAAGGTCATGCCTTTTGATGTCAATAAACACCTGTGCTTGGTCAACATGGTCTGCTGCATTTTTACGAACACTTTCAATTCCAGGCTTGTCACAAAGTTGATATAGCTTGTTTCTCCTTGAAGAAAACTGACCAAATTTGGTAGCTTAAGAAGTTTAAGCACTTACTAGATGTCTAAGCCAAACTCCTTATTCAGCCGTGATATCTGCCGAATGGCTAATAGTGTTACAACCAAGAGTTTGTATACTCTGGCGCACAACTCAGACAATGCTTATAAAAAAGTGAGGGGAGTGGTTACCCTTTAGATAGGACCAAGTTTGTTGTGGGTAAACAACAGGAGGACTTGCTGAGGAGTCTCCTTGATCTATTGGGGTATATATACTACTACAGGTTGTTTGTACATATATACTATACAGTTGATGAAGGCAGTGGCTGATGATGTCATAGGGCACAGCCTGTGTGACCAGCTCCGCTGCATGAGATACTTGTATCTAAAAATGAAGAAAGGCAGCACGGCACGAGAAGGTGGAGTTTGAACAAAAAAATGGAAAGTGCCGCATGGCACAGTGTGTGAAAACTACAGAAGAGGGTTAAATAGGGGAATGAAATTTAAAGGTCCAAACATTGTGTATTGTAACAAACAGGCCTGAACCACTGTTCTCTTTTGCATACTGCTTAAAGGCTTCTTGCAACTTGTCATCTGGAGGGTCTGTGAACTGTCTCAGTGAAGCACATCACAAAGAAAAGCATACAAACAGTGTTTCTCTCCACACTAATTGTGTCCAAATGAATTGGCTGAGGTCTAAAAGGCTGTATTTTGTAGCTCGTCAACTATCTGAGCCTCAGCAACGGTCTGCAGATACAGTTCAAGTTGTGGGATCAAAGTATATGTTTGTACATATTAGGCTCAACTTTCTTGCGCTGCGCAGCTTCCTTTTTTTTTAGTTCAAGAGTAACCGCACTGTGAGACCAAGGACATGTGATAATCACCCTGGGCCAAACCTGTTTTAGTAGGGAGAAAGTCAAAGTCTTCAAGTGAAAATAAACACTATCATGCAATAATCAACTGATTCTGTGGTGACAGGATCAGGTGATTATTGCCTATTTTATGTCCAAATTCACCTCATGCACAATTTTTGGGTCAATGATGTATAGCACTACCTTTTAAGGTTATTTTCCTACTATGTTTCACCTGTAAAAAATACACTGATTGCTAGGCATGTTCACATATTATACACATTGATATTGCCTATGTAAGAAATTTGTTTACCTGGTATAGGATATAGTGATTTCACTCCTGGGATCATCCAATTCAAGTCAAATTTGCCTAATATATACCGGTAGTTTTTCCTAACCTTGAATGTTGAGAAAATCACTAGAATACTAATCAGCTCAAGTGATAGTGATTTCACTCCTCCCATCAGATCATCTACTTTGAGTAAATCTCACCCAATATAAATGAGTACACTTTCCTCTTCCTAAAAGTTGTGGAAATCACTTGAACATTAGGATTACTTTTTCCTGGCCCAAGTGGCCGGTGTATCTGCTGTTGTTCCAACCAATTAAAAAACAACTAGATACATGCAGAAGTGATTATAAAACATCAACATCAGGATTAATTAGCTGTAGATGTAGTTGATACATTGATAGCTGCATATATACATATATGCTTGAGCTTGGAAAAAACCTGTATTAAAGGCTGTGGCTGAGTATGGTCAGTTCTGGCAGCTAAGTGGTAAGTAACTTCATATACAATAAGGCTCAGTGGCTCACTGGCTAGCTTTGATGCCCATTTGTTGTCAATACCTGAGAAGCACACTATGAGTATAAAAGGCATTAGGCTAAGGGCACTAGTATTACTGCCCCTGCATCATGTCTATACTCACAACTACTCCTACCTTTCTACATCAACTACTCCTACCTCTCTACATCAACTACTCCTACCTCTCTACATTCATCAAGCACACAAAACACTCAGAATCTGGGACCTACGCTATTCTCCTATCTTCATTGGACTTGTTACCATGAAGTCCTCTCAAATGGGCTATTTCCTCATTTCAATGCTGAGGTCAGTGATCTGTGCCCTTGGTTGTGGTGAGCCTTGAAGGGATACTATGTGCTCTATATTACCTTGTAGACTTTATCCAGGCCTGTGACTGAAGCAGGCGAGAGGGTAACACCCTCTGATATAATAGATCAATGTGCACAATACAACTACCTGGGTCCATCTTGCTTATGTGCCATGGGCTTGAATGATAGGGGAGCATATACAGAAACAGCAATAGGTGTAGCTACTGGTGGATCATTTGCCGGCAAATACATAGCTGCTTCCAAAGCTTGTTCCTGTGGTTATTATGGTGAGAGATGGACCTTCATCAATATTGATATCAATTTACTTTTTTGGTACTCACCAAGTCTTCAGTTGGCATGGAACGCATGTACTCCCAAAATGGGCTTTTGCTTAATAAATACCCTCTTTGTGGTAAGGCTGTAACTTTTTGTTAGCTGTTCCGAGACTGATTGCCTTTCAGAGGGTAACACCCCTCCAGTCCCACTATATGTAGATGATCAAGGGTCATTTGATAATCCTCGGTGTCGATGATGAGAACTGTTGTTAGAAAACCACACACAAAAACAAACTAACACACAATCCTCCCAGATTCCACGGAACTTGTTTATGGGCTTTGCCTCCTAGAACAGTGGGTGCTCTGGTTGTTCGTGGGGTGGTATGTATGAGGATCCTTCAAAGTAAAACCCAGAGATGTATGGGTGTGGGTTTTGAGGAGAAGGGATAGTTGGAATATAGAAAGATGGGGGCTTTGTGGCGAGTATAGACGAGCACTACCTTGCTAATTGTAGCACAAGGTAGGTTTGAAAACAACAATATGACGAGGTTCCCAGTGATAGCAGGCTCCTGATGCACAAACTGTAGTGCTCAGAAGGAGTCTAATCAAAAGGGATGACAATGACTTCAAAAGTGGGAAGTGACGATGACAGCAGTTGACAGTGGTAGCAGTGGGAAGTGTTGTGACCACACTGGATCACAAGCAGCAGAGTAGTGAACTTGAAATTAGAGAAGAAGTCTGGAATTGAGTTCTTGTTCTTTACAAGGTAAAATACAGGGGTTTATATAGTAAAAGAAAAGTAGGCTATGCACAGTATAGCTATGCAAAAAGAATGAGAAAGAACATGAAGGAAGGAATGTACGCTGACAAATCCTGCATAGGTAGTACAGGATAAGATTGTCAAAAAAAGGAAAAGAAAGGG